GTTGAGTGGAGTTCAACATGTTTTAAGCAAAGCCCTCTGTGTCTAGAACCATGTTGTGCCTGGAAGTCACAAGGAGGTTGGAGCCTAGGGGGAGAGACAGGTCCATGGGCAATAACTGTGGTTTGAACAGAATCAGAGAAGAGTGATACCACCCCAGTCTGGGCAGGTTATTAAAGAGAAAAAGGCTTCCCAAACTAGTGATTGTGAGATGGTGCTTAAAAGATGAGTAGGAAAGGGCCTGGAATGGGGAGGAAAAAAAGATATGGACATTTCAAGTAAAGTTAAACATAGTGACAGCAAAACTTAGGAGATGTGATGCAGCTTTTGGGGTGTTTAGAGGTGAGGCAGAAACTTACTGGAAGTGGGGAGAAAAGCAGGGTGGGGCCAGCCACAGAGGACTCTGCATGTCGGGTTAAGAAGCTCCTCAAAAACTATATCCCAGTGAAATGCCCTTTCAAGAATGCATGGGTTAGTTCATTTAAGCCTAAGTTTGTGTTCCTCAAGTAGATTTGTTGTCTCTAATTTTTGAATTATTAGGATCTAGCTATATTAACAATATATAATTTATTTTTAAACCATAGTGTATAGAAATATTTATTTTAAACCAAAGGCACATTTTGCCAGAAGCAGATGGACAATTATCATTGGGTGCTACTTTCCCCTCAAGCTCAGAGGCACAGCTGTCATTTTTGAAAACCGGAGCATGAATATGAAAATTGAAAGAAAACTTAAGAAAAGTCTGTCATCTCTGCGCTGTCCCTTGTGACTTACATGCTTCTGCAGTGACCAGGTCCTCCTTCCATGCAGTTATTCGAGCCATGCCCCTGGGGCCAACCTTCCACCTGCCTCTCTACCACCTTCATAACCAATCACCATATCCTGGCCATCTTTCCCCTAAACATTACTCAAACCTGTTTCTCCACAGATACTCCCATTGGCCTTAAGCCAACATTGTCTCTTGTCAGGATTTCTGCAGTAACCTCCTGTTTTCCCATCTCTATGCTTTCTGTCCTCCAACTAATTCTCCACAAAGCAGTCAGGACCACAATTTTTAAATGCAGACCATATGCTATCTTTCTTCTCCTTGCAACCCTTTAGTGATTCTTAGGATGAACATTGGACTCTGACTCAGCACACCAGGGCTTAGCAGCATCTGGTTCCTGCCTTCTCTGGTCCCATTTCCTCCTCACCTCCTACTCAGCCATGCTGATGTTTCTAATTCCTAACTTAAGTCTTATTCCCTCTCACACCTCATCTAAACCTTACTTCTTCAGAAAGGCCTTCCCTGACCCATTAACTAGGAGCACTTGACTGTTGACACTTTTCACCATTGCAATTAATGATGAATTGTGTGATTTTGGGTCTAGAGCTTATTACTCATATAACCCAAGTTTCCAGAGTCAGGGCCAATACCTGCTTTGTTTCAATAATGTATCGGCTGTCCTTGTGCCCAGCACTTTGGCACAATAAGACTAATAAATATCTGTTTGAGTATGTGAACATTCATACCCCACATGTGTTTCTCTGCTTCCTGAAGATCCTTCACACACGCCAACAAAAAGATAAAACCTTCTATGTTGAGAACACTTAAATACCAATTCAAAGCCATTAATAGGTATAATGAACTGTCATTGTGTACTATCCTGACTATAATTGATAATTGAATATTTTTAAAATATTGTAGATGAGAGAAATTAAGCAAGGGTACCTAATAAGAGGCACCTTCATAGGTACATACACTTTGGTAGGGTCTAGGGTTTGGCTAGAAATGCAATTTATTCTTTAACCAGTGATGTTCAGAGTGTGGGACTCACCAGAAACTGAGGGATATCCAGGCTTCCAATGCTGCACATTAATTTATGGCATGTACTGTAATTGTCAGGCACTGCTGGTGTCTGCTCAGAGGCACATTCCTCTGCTGGCTACTCTATGTGGGAAGCTGGATTGTATTCCCAGGCTTGAGAGACATAGAATCAGTGTTAAGAGAGCATGGGGTCTAAATGTATGGACCAAGCCATGCAGGCTCTAAATGAACTATATGATACAAAGTAGTCAGAAATCAGCATTTTAAATAATAGCTCATTGATTATGTGTATTTAGCCTCAGGTACTTTTTTGGTCTCTCTGTATTACTAAGGTAATTTTGTTCTCTTCCTACATCATTTGCTTTTTCATCTATTAGATTGCTTTCCATGCAGTCCCTGAATCCTCTTTGAGGTTGCACAGGTTTCTCCCACAGCTTCAGTTCTAGGCAGAAGTTTGACTAAATGGAGGCAATGTAACGTCACAGAGGAATCAAAGTTATGTTTAAACTTAGTAAAAGCACCTCAGATGTGAAGTAAATAGATTTTTAAGTGGTTAAGGTAGAGCTAATTAACTGTCACTAACTAAAAATAAATCAACATTTTAAAGCAAGCAAAAGAACTTAAACAGGAAACAGCTTGCTTTTTTTAAATTATTTTTTTACTTCTTTTTTACTGTATTTTTTCCCATTACCATTTATCCTTCTTATATCTCCCGTTCCCCTGCATCACCACACTGCTGCCCATGTCCATGAGTCCTTTTTCCTTTTTGCTCGATCCTTCCACACCCTAAACCTACCCTCCAGAGCTGTCAGCCTGCTCTTTATCTATGAGTCTGTCTCTATTTTGTTGTTAGTTCAGTTTGTTCATTAGATTCCACATATAAGTGAAATCATATGGTATTTGTCTTTCTCTGACTGGCTTGTTTCACTTAAAAGTTTAAAAGTTGTGAAATTATCCCCAGGGAATATAAAAGCTAACCATTTGTAAACTATGATTAGTTTACAAGTCATAGTGGATGAAAAGCGTTTTTCTTTAACCAATTTGCTTTTAAAATAACCAATTTTATTAGACCTAGAGATAAAAAATGAAATGAATTAAATAAAATTTCTGAAAACAATGCTAGATAAGCAGATCACACTTAACTGTTCAAAACTAAATTTAAAAAAAAATTGTAATCTGAAAATTTGACATAAATTCGAAAGCATTCATAAAAGGCTGCAAGACAGCTCTTTTGTATATAAAAATTACCCCCAAGCTTCAATTCATTCTCACAAGGGGATTAATAAAAATTTAAATATGCATAAAAATTATAAAGCTGCGCTACCCATGTTATACAATATATGGGAAACTTTGTGGCTAGAACTATTTATCTTTGATCTTGCATGCTTGATAGTCATCATCCCATTTATAATAAAGAATTGTGGGATCGAATTGTGGCAAGTCAAGTAAAAATGCACTCTCCTGATGTTGTTGTTGTGGTTGAAATTTCACCATGCATACTTCTAAGGAAACATAGGCTCTTCTTTATTCTAAGAAAGGAACATTTAGAGGTCCTTTCAATGCTGCCTTTCAGTGTTTGCAAAAGAAATACAGTTCATTTACTACTTCAATTTCTTTTTATCGACATGCTTCCAAACTTAAAAAATATGCATATATATTGCCAGAACTGGTTATATAAACTGTTTAAAATCTTTACACTCAATATTTAGATAGTCTTTTCTTTAAAAAGTCATTTTAACGGACAATTGCCTGACCTCTTGGCTTTGTTAAGTGGCTGTTTGTTAAACCATGTTAATATAGTCATATGTACATTTTTCTGACTAATACCATCTTGTTGTGGGCTTTATAACACTGTCACTGAAGACTTTGAAGGCTTCTATCCTGTGCACCATTACAGACACTTTAATTAATTTATCTCAAATGTCAGAGGAATTGAAGCCAAAGGCTGGATTCTGTAAAGCTAGAACTCCCTTGCTTGCCGACCATGGTATGATTTTTATCTATCTGCTTGCCACAGGGCAGTCTTTAGAAGAAACAGATAAATGGATTAAAGCACCCTTTTAAACAGGACCTAGTTCAGTTAAATCATTTTCCCAAGAGTCCTTCTAAGACCTGAGAAGGCATCATTAATCAAATTTTCAGTTAAAGTTTAGTATAGTAGTGGTAGAATGGAGTCAGTTGTCTTGGCAGGATTTGTAACAGGTGTGTCTGCACTATTCTGATTCAGTCGTGGCCACCTGATTTGTTGAGCACCAACTCCTCTCAGGCCAGAAAATTAACAACTTCCTTTCTCCCACATTTCTGTTAGGCTACCTGAGCAAATGTAAAAAGGATGTTAAAGACTTTGGTTCTCCCTACATTTCAAGGTTTTTACTAAGACTCTCCACTCCTTCTGTCAAATGCCCTTCAAGACAACATATTTTCTCACTATCTCAGTATCCCCTCACTCATGTCTCTACTGCTCCAGCAACCTCTATTTCAGCTTCCCTAAACACCAGTGAGGCCAAATCACCAGGTTTTAAGCCTGGAAGAACATGGAGTTGCCACTTCTTCCCAAGAGAATCAGATACTAAAGGCCTTAAAGATGCAAAGACCTTACTTTATTTGGTTGGTTGGTAGGTGTTGATTGGGGAAGAGAGGTGGAGAGAAGGCAGAGAGGGAAGTTGGCCTGGTGATCAGCTATCTTAAGCATAGCTCCAGCTGCAGACTGACTACGCTGGACTTGATGTCCAAGATTATAGTCCCAGGAGCACAATGAGGCAGTATGCCCATAACTGGCTGCCACTGCTGTGATCATTTTTACAGTAGAGTGAGGGCCAAGGAACTGCTCTGACCTGATAGTGCCTCATTTATGTGGTTGGAATAAAGGTAGTAAGGGGGTTAAACTGGGCCTGATGGTCTGCATAGCTTGGTTTAAAAAAATGGACTAATTAAATGATTGTGAAAACTGAAAACATACTAAGGGGGTTTTCTGGAGACGAAAAAGGATGAGCAAAATTTAGTTAATGATGAGACTGTTTTGTTGCCAGGTGGCAGTAATGAAACCCTCTGTATCCAGTGAGTGAACATTTCCACCTGGACTACTTCCTGCTTTCTGATTGGGATGGGGACTCTAGGACTTGAGTGGTCACATATGTTGTCACATAGCATTCCCTCTGCCAAAAAGTCATTGTTTCTGTCTTCCTCCTCTGACCAGGTGTTGGATTGGATTGAAAACCATGGTGAGGCCTTTCTTAGCAAACACACAGGGGTTGGGAAGTCCCTGCACCGAGCCCGAGCCCTGCAGAAGAGACATGATGACTTTGAAGAGGTGGCTCAGGTGAGGTGCTGTGTGTGGTTGTATGTGTGTGTGCATGTGTGTATGGAGCCGGGTGAGAGAACAAGGGCTATAGCTTGGTGTCTGATGGGGCATATTGTGTTGATAGCCCATGGCTCCTGGGCTGCCTGTCTGCCTAATACAAGGAGACATTTGTCTGTTCTTGTATCAATAAGTGAATGGTAAGTAGACCCTCATTTTATGGTCTTCAGAAAAAATCATTCTGCCGGCACGGTCTGTAAATGCCTCGTCTACAAGGTGGTGATTACAGGAAGGAATGACATGAGAACCATCAACAGCCCAAAGCCACCCCAGTGGTTTTCACTGCAGTTGAGTGGGAGCTAAAAATAGTGGCCTCTCTGCTCACAAAGCTGTGTGCCTTCCAGGATCTGGAGGAAGAGATGGCACCTGGTCACCAAGCCATGCACCAGCAAGGCTGAATGTTCCCAGAGAAAGTGCCTTTGCATCATTGGCACAATATTTAGTCTCTAATTTGCACAATATGTAGCCTTTTAGCTGAGGTGCATACCTGTGCCAACAAAGGCACTGTTTTCTAATTTGTATGAAGAGCCTGTCAGAGAGGCCTTAACCATGTATCTTAATGGTGGAGTGATATAAGAGAGTTTCTGTACTGAGCTTCCACCCCCAAAATTTTATTTTAATGTCCTTGGGAGTATTCCAAATGGATCCTCAAAATCTTCACCTTCAAGATGAAATACTGCTGTCCAGTTATGTTGTCAAATGTGATCAGTTGCAGGGGAAAAATAAGACTCCTATGAATAAGGGAGCGAAGGGACAACTGGGAAGAGAATCAGTGTGGCACAGAGGGTTGGGTACTGCTGGAGTAGTGAGGATGACAAAGCTGGGTTTCCACATCACAGCTTTAACCAGGGCTGGCTCTGATCCTACATGTGGGTACTCAATGTGGGTGTCATGCTTAGCATTGTGCAAAGCCCCATCCCTCACCCAAAGAGAACACCAGCCCCAGGCACATTATGCACCCTGTGGGTGCAAAAGGTGAGGGGCTGCCAAGAACCAAAGGAAACTGCTGGAGGACTGGAAAGTAGTGGGAGCATACCACATCTCTAGGGGAGCTGCAAATGTATGCTGAAATCGAGAGGCCTGGCAGGGGCCAGAAAGATTGGGTCAGCAGTGACAGGAACCTGGTGAATGCAGGCAGGTTAAACTCAGCCTGTGGGATAAAGCCTCGCATGATCTTTGTGCACTATTGGTGAGAATATAAAATGGTACAGCCACTGTGGAAAACAGTGTAGTGGTTCTTAAAAAACTAAACATAGAATCACCATATGATTCAATAATCCCACTTCTGGGTATATATCCGAAAAGAATTAAAAGGTGGGATGTGAAAAGGTATTCCTATACCCATGTTCACAGCAGCATTATTCATAATAGCCAAAAGGTGGAAGCAACCCTAGTGTCCACTGATGGATGAATGGACAAAAAAATGTGATGTATACCTACATACAATGGAATATTATTCAGCTTTAAAGGATACTACAACATAGATGAACCTTGAAGACAGTGCGCTATGTGAAATGAGTCAGTCACAAAAGGACAAATATTATATGAGTTCACTTATGGGAGGTAGTCAAATTCATTGAAACAAAGAGTAGAATGGTGGTTGCCTTCTGGTTGCCTCTCCAAGCTGTTAGGGCACAAAAGATGGGAGAGGGCCATTTGGACTCCCTGTCTGCTGAGAGTTGGAGTTATGGTAAGGGAGGCTCCATCCCACAGAGTCTCCCTGGTCACTGCAGGTGAAGAAATAAACTGTACCAGACATGATTTGCCTGTCAGGAGAGAGGGTGGCGATTCTCTCTGGTGGAGAATGCCCCAAGCTGTTCTCTTGAATTGGCTTTTATTGAGTTTAGCTCATATAGGGATATATAGTATATGCATAAAACTCATCAGTCAAGGTTAAACAGTAATGATTAAAGGAAGGAGATATGGTTCAAGGATAACAGTAGAGGGATTACAAGAGTCTTTCTGAGTCAGGGTCAGGTAAACAGAGTGGCACCGATTTGGCCCTGAAACCTGGGAAGATAAACTCATCCTTTGCTCAGACCCCAGACACCAGTACTCATTAACTCGAGGGCATTCTTAGCAAAGCAGGTGTCATAGGATTTACTGCATTCCTTTTCCAGGCCTAATTGTCCCTGGGAACCACCTGATCCAGTTTAGGGCTATACCTGCCTCTAGCATTGTTTCAAGCCTGAGTCAGGTGGGGGGCGGGGAGATCATCCAAAAGATAAGGAAACTTCTTTCAGATAGAATGAGAAAGGAGTGAGGGTCTTTTGCCCCTTCTCTGTGACCCCCAAGTCCTTCCCTGGTGGTCCCCATGCGACTATGCCTGTCTTAGGTTGCCCCTGCCATCGAGGGGTCTTATCCGTCATTGACTAACCAGCCATCCTCCGGGGCCGAGCAGAGTGATGTGAGAGAGGCAATGAGGATGCCAGGGGGACAGGTTTTGTCTCCACAGAGGCCTATTTTCCCAAGCCCTCCTTGCTCAGCTCCAGCCTTGGGGCCCTCTCTCCTGTCAGCGAGGCTACAGTCCCTGAAACCAGATGGGACGGTTCCCAATATTATGGTACCTGGGATAATGTGTTAGACCAGAGCCATCCATCACTTTGATGCTCTTGCCTTTTGGCTGTCCTGTGGCTCAGCACCTCCTCACTTAGGGAGGACATCCTAGAGCCACCCACAGCCCTAACCCAGCCCATCCCTCCTGCTGTCTCTCTGCTACAGCCTCACAGGCAATGCCAGCCCTGGTTGCAGGCTCATGAGGGGGGCTGTTGTTTTGTGTGTTTTTGCAATGAAGCAGGCATGGCAGCCACCTCAACTTTAACCCCATTTTTCCCAATTGCTCCTTTACTTTCTCACTGATGCCTGATAAGCCTTCACGTGAGACAGTGCCTTTCATTTAGTACCAGACACATAATGATTGACACTAAAGAAAGAATGGACACATTTTTTTTTAACTTTATAAACTTTATTTTTTAAATTTATTTTTAGAGAAAGGGGAAGGGTGGGAGAAATAAAGGGAGAGAAACATCAATGTGTGGCTGCCTCTCATGTGCCCCCTACTGGGGACCTGGCCCACAACTCAGGCATGTGCCCTGACTGGGAATCGAACCAGCAACTCTTTGGTTCTCAGACCGGCACTCAGTCCACTGAGCCACACCAGCCAGAATGGAATGAACACATTTGTTAAGGCTTATGTTTCCATTATGTATTTTATATCCCACCAATCCTGAATGATAGTTGGTATTAGTCTTGTTTTATAAGAGAACACACTAAGGCTCAGGAAGTTATTCAATGTGTACAAGTCATCTGGCTTGGTGGTGGTTCTGCTGGGATTCAAACCCAAGTCTATCTGACTTGAGTCATGTTCTTACCTAACTTCATACTCTCCCTCCTTTTTGAGGCATAAAACTCATTTCTGAGTGCCAGTTTGCTCATGGAAAGTGCAGACAAAGAACAAGGATGGGAGTGGGGATGCTGGTGTGGCTATCCCGTTTGACATACATCACAGTCTCTCGATATGATCCACTTCTCCCTGCCTTTGCTTTCTGATAAAACTTACCTTTGTGAGAAAGAAGAGAGAGTCCTACCTTCCAAAAGGCTCTGCTTTTAGGAGGAATGTTTCCTCTGGGAAGAGGAACAACAGATGTGAAATACCTAACCACAAAGGGAGCACCTAAGTAAGGGGCCATGAGGTCCCTCGAGGTAGGTGGGTCATGTAATCTAGAAATCAATCCTGTTTTGTTCCCTCATCCCCACTCTGGGGCAGGGAGCGGGCATTGGAGCTGCTTAGCATCCTGGAATTCGTAGTCCACTTATGAAAACTAACTCTGACCATGGCAAAGGCAGATGACTGTAGCTGCCTACCTCAGCCCTGCCTTGTTCTGTACAATGTGATCTTTACACTCAGGTGGTGAGAAATGGGGAGATCCTGTCAAGAAAGGGCACTCTCTTTCTCTCTTGCTTCGGTTCTCAATCAGGTGAGGGCCACTGCAAGGAGAGGAATGGATTTAATCAGGAATTGTATAATTTTTGAGCTCGAGATCAGTGGCATTAAGTGAAAGTGTACAGCTCTTGTTGTTTTGGGGTGCTGGTTATGAGCTATGGTCAGGAAAGATATCACACATGATGTGAAGTAGGAGGCTGGGGCAGCCCTTTGTCAGCAGTACTGTAGTCATGACTTAGTGAGGAGGAAAAAAACACTTTCAATTTTATGATTTCATGATTATTTGGCCTGAGGATGATATGAGAAGAGAATTCTGAGCTCCCATTCTCTATACCCAGGTTTAAAAAATTGACTTGAATCAAAACTGGAAGAGAGCTTTCGGCTCGTTTTTTGGCTCCTGGAAATTTGCCCTCTGCAGGGCCAGCCCTCAAGATTACTACACACAGGGAGTGGGCAAGGGGCAGTGTAAAGCCCCCAACAAAACATCTCCACTCTTGGCATAGTAGGGGTGCCTGTGGTTCTGATCAAAGACAGTTATGGCAGTTATTAAAATAATATAAATGATAGCTGTGAAGAAATAATGTATCAATCCATTATCTCTTATTGAACTTTAAATTAGTGTTTACCAGCCCTTGGACACATTTTTTTAATTTTTTTATTTTTTCTTTCTTTCTTTTTTTAATTTGTCTGCATTTTCCACCACTGCTTTCCCCTGTCCCACCTACCCCCACCTCCCACCCTTAATCCTTCCTCACTTTGGCTTTGTCCATGGGTCCATTATAAATGTTCCTTGATTTGACCCTTCCCCTTCTCTTCCCTGTTACCTGCCTCACTCTTCCCATCTGGTTACTGTCAGTTTGTTTTTTTCTTTCACTGTTGTTAGTTATATTTTTCTTACTTGTTTGTTTTGTTGATTAGGTTCCACTTAGAGGTGAGATCATATGGTATTTGCTTTTCACCACCTGACTTATTTCACTTAGCCTAATGCTCTCCAGTTCCATCCATGCTGCCGCAAAGG